GAATACGGCGAATTGAAAGTTCACTTTTCTTTCCCGTAGGTGGTTGTTCTGATACACCCAACTGGTACAATGGCTATGCCGGCGCTAACGGTGGAAAAGGTTTCACCTGTCAGGAATACGCCACAGCTTGCTCAGGCCGACGAGGTTCACCATGGTGTTCAAATGGACAAGTAACACCCGGTAGTAGTTGGACAATTGGAGCTAAATATAATTACCCGGAACAAAATTGCTGCGCTTGCGGGGGTATAACATGTTTTTGAACTCATTTGATTTCAGGAAAGGTCATAGCGGATTTAATAATTCAAGTCATCTCTTCCTAATAAATATTCTTAAAACCTTTTTATTAGATGACATTACGGTGACGCCTCTTAGCTTTTTCAGATGAATAAAAACACTTCAGACGAAAGTTCTTATTTAGAAGCCCTATGGAATCCTAAGCTTAAAACAGCCACATAGCAGCTACTAGAAAGGACTTTCACATTCATACCTTACAGAGGTCTATGCTGATAGTTCTTTCATACATGACCTTTCGTTCCTTCCTGCTGTCCTCCAAATTTTGATTTTATCAGTCGAAAAACAAAGTGACGAAAGTTAACTTCTGACTACACGAAAGGAATTTCTTGGTTCGTTTCGAATATGGGGAATTGAAAGGTCACTTTTCTTTCCTGTAGGTGGTTGTTCTGATACACCCAACTGGTATAATGGCTATACGTCGGTCTGAGCCAGCTGTGGCGTATTCCTGACAGGTGAAACCTTTTCCACCGTTAGCGCCCGCATAGCCATTATACCAGTTGGGTGTATCAGAACAACCACCTACGAGAAAGGAAAGTGACTTTTCAATTTCCCATATTCGAAAGGCACAAATACATTCCTTTCTTATGATCAGAAGCAGAGATGTACCTGGTTCCGGCAACCGGCGAGTCTGATCAGAAATTTTTGACCGATCGGTCGGCCGGCGGGCCGAAAGGAATTTAATTTGATCGGTCGGTTGAGAAAAAAACGTTTTTTCGTCCGATGAATCAGAACTGTGTCGAAAACGAATCTGGTGAGCTAAGTAAAACAAAGATTTTCATATTTCGGATTAAGGAAGTTGGTTTGAATTTTGTTCTTTTTGTCAACAGTGTTCGAGGGCAGGATTGGTAATCGCTACTGGGGGAGTATTGCGTTCGTTTTTGTTTCTTTTTTAATGTTTGTTGCGCTATTATCGGCACAAAAATACAAAATCGGTAGTTATTTTTTGAATAACTCAAGATGAATAAAAGATAGAGACTTGCGGTTTTTTTCATTCACTAGCCAAGATCTGAGGCTAGGGTTTTATGTGCAAAAACGAGTTTGGAAAAGTTTTGGAAATCATTCTTTCAGGAGATCTGGGGAAAACCCGTTCGGTTCTCTGAAAGCTGACATAGAAATCTACGGATTTGTTTTTAGGGACAGGTAAGAAGAATAACTGCGACGGAAGGAACACGATATAATTAACAGTGCAGTTCGAAAACGGCATTAACGCGATTAATGCCGTTTTCGAACTGTATCGTATTTTCTACGCCACTGTTTGATACAACATCGTAAAAACTTGGCCAGCATCTTCTTTTATGGAGAATTGAAGGGGCTATTTAATGATAGGGTTGAAAGGCTTCTGAAAGAAACTTTAAGAAGAAAACCAGGTTTTTCAGAAATCTCTTTCTCAACACTGCGACGTGTAGCATAACTTTTCTCCGTCGAAATATTTTGAACTCGATGCGCTCTTTCATTTGACACCAACTCAAGGTTCTACGTTAGGGAATGTGGTCCGCAGACGTTCTACAAGTTAGGCCAAATCCGTCGGAAAATGACGAAAATGCATTTTTCTGCTGCCAGGGTAAAATGGCTATAGCATTTTATTCTAACAAAGCTGGAGACCTGCGGTTGTCACCATTCGGTTCAGCTTGCTGAGCTCTGTCATTTGAGGTATGTCTCGTTACTGACGTCCAAGGTCGATGAAAATGATAAACGGTTTTATATGGATTTAGCCTATCCGTCGATGCCGAAACTATCACTCTCCACTCGTATTTCTAGTGTTAGAACATCCAGACCCCATTTGTTCTCAATATTATATATATCATTTTGTAGACCGTAAACTTCTCTATCGAATGGTATACAGTAGTTGAGGTTTGCTTTGAGCAAAGAGAAGAAATACAGAAAATACTCTAAATAAAGTTCATTTAAGAGGAGAAAAGTTTGGATGCGGAATTTTTTCCACGGGGGGTGTAAACGGTTACTTTGAGGTGCTAGTTTTAATCACGCAGAGAAACTACATCAGACTTGTGAACATGAGCTTGATCTGAGAGGGGGCCGATTTTGTCTCTTATCGAGCCCCGTCCTTTATACCAGAGATAGAAGAATGAAAAAGAAAATGGATGTATTTTTGCTCAGAATTTTGTGACATGATCTTCTATGGGTTTGCCGGAAAACTCCAGTTTTCATCCAGTCACATTATGATCCCTCGAAAAAATGGTTCGATCAAGTCGAAATTTTTACGACAGATACTCCAGACCATACCTCAGAATGAAAAATTTTTTTCGAAAAATGTGCTTTCCTTCTCGAGATATGCGAAAAATGCTGAGGTTTTTTTTGTGTGGTTTTCAGCGTTTTTCGGTTGTCTGGAGAAGGAAAGCATATTTCTCGAAAAAACATTTTTCATTCTGAGACAGGGTCTGGAGTATCTGTGGTAAAAATTTCGACGTGATCAGACCATTTTTTCGAGGGGTCATAATGTGACTGGATGAAAACTGGAGTATTCCGGCAAACCCATAGAAGATCATGTCACAAAATTCTGAGCAAAAATACTTTGATTTTCTTTCTCGCTCTTCTATCTCTGGTATAAATTTGAACTCGATCGGACGTGTGCTCCGCATTTGGCATCAAGGCGAAAAAAGAGGAATAGTGTTACCTTTAAGGTTACCTGCGTTTACGGGAATGTTTCACAATATTATTATTCGACCGTAATTTCGGTTCTGCTTTCCTTGATTATATTATTCTCATTTTCTGGGCATCCCGAGGTATACACTTTGATTGTACTTCGGCTCCATGACTTCGCAAATAGTAAAAACAAAGTGAGGAAAATTAGCTTCTGTCCGTAAGAAAGGAATTTATTTGTGATTTTCGAATATGGGGAATTGAAAGGTGAAAGGTTCCACATTTGGGCCTTTGCTGATAGTTCTTTCATACATGACCTTTCTTTCCTTCCTGCTGCCCTCCAAATTTTGATTTTTTCAGAGGAAAAACAAAGTGGCGAAAGTTAACTTCTGACTACACGAAAGGAATTTATTTGTTCGTCTCGAATATGAGGAATTGAAAGGTCACTTTTCTTTCTTGTAGGTGGTTGTTCTGATACACCCAACTGGTATAATGGCTATGCGGGCGCTAACGGTGGAAAAGGTTTCACCTGTCAGGAATACGCCACAGCAGGCTCAGACCGACGAGGTTCACCATGGTGTTCAAATGGACAAGTAACACCCGGTAGTAGTTGGACAATTGGAGCTAAATATAATTATCCGGAAAAGAATTGTTGTGTTTGCGGAAATAGAGGATAACATCTTCTGTTGTACGTCTGTTTTTCTGTTTCGTCTTGTATAGAGGGGTTTATTATTAATTAAAAGTTAATTGTGAATGTTACAGTTATTCATTAACAAGTGGAAGTTAAAAAATACAAAATTTTTCAATGAATGACTTTGGATTTTCTGTTATTTGTAAAGTTCTGAGTACTGATTCGGGAAATGATTCGTACTAAAAAAAATATCAAGTGCTTTCGACTAATGTTGGAAAGCGAAGAAAAAATATGTCTGTCGTAATATATTGACTTATCGCTGACTTAACATGTTATGAATGCCAATAATTCGACCAAAAACTACAGCCACCTGGAGCGCGTATTTGCTTTGAGTTATTCATCAAAGAGAATTATAGCTACTAAATAATCGGACAGTAATTTTTCGTTGAATTATCCAGACAATAACAATGAGTTCGTTTTCTTTATTTGTTATTAACCTGATCGGTTTCGAATTCTTTTTTAGAGACTAACAAAAAACTGTATTTTATGTGTCACTTGTCCTGACCAGACCAGAAATGCAAATATGTTCTCATTTTTAGAACCCTCGCTCGCCTCCCGACTTGCATATCCTCAGTGCCGTGGCGAGAGAAAAAAGCAGGAGGGGTGTAAATTTTTTTGGGAGATAGCCATAGAAGTCAGAAAACACAATTTTCTTTTATACACATAGCGGGTGGGCCAGCAATAATGACACACTTTTGTTCTCTTTTCTTCCGAGCACAACCGAGGTTCGAAGATTCCATTCTAAACTCATTCGATAGAGAATTTTCTGCTCTACAAAATCCATAATCTTCTTGCATTACATATTATTTCATTATTTTAAAAATAGTGCAGAGTAGGGAAAGGTGAAAAGTATAACTGCGATTTCCTATCAACATTTTGGTGGCTTTTCGTCTTTTGTGTAACTTTTCGAGAAATAATGTGGTAATTGAGAGAAGAAGGTGGTATAAAAATGTTCAGCAGATTGAACGCTATCATACATACTACGCTACTTATTCGTCTTGTCACCCAAACTGTGAAGCTTTCAGTGCACAAGTTAATCTGTACTTTCGGGTAACGTGGGATTTGAAAAAAGCAGAAAAAGGACTGAAAGTGTGCGTTACAGAGTTTTGCGGAGCAGAAAACTTTCTATCTTTTGAAGTCAGAACGAAGTCTTGGAACCATACGGGATATAGATAAAAATAGATACATGAATAACCTCATCATTTCGGGATCATCCGTTCTTAGTCGCAAAATGTCAGGAAAACTTTTATTTCTCAATGCGGATTAATTAAATGAAGACGAGTTCTTTGCGCAAAGTACCTGTGATGAATAGCTAACAGAAGCATTATTAAATAATCAATTAGGTCAAGTACAAAAATAATTATAACGTGTTCCTTCCGTCGCATTTATTCTTCTTACCTGTCCCTACTCTGCACTATTTTATAAAATAATAAAACAATATGTAACGAAAGAAGGTAATAGATTTTGTAGAGCAGAAAGTTCTCTATCGAATGAGTTTAGAATGGAATCTTCGAACCTCGGTTGTGCTCGAAAGGAAAGAGAACAAAACTGTGTCATTATTTCTGGCTCACCCGTTATATATAACGGGTGAGCACCTAACACTGATCCGTCTTCCTTCTCAATAAAATGTGTCTTGAATGAGATATTTGAGATGAACTTCTTATTTGAGTGCTCACATTAGACATAAATCTTGACTGAATCCCTACTATGCCTTTCACAGTGTATGCTGTCCTCGATTGGATATTTGTACAGAAAGAAAAATGAAAGAGAATCACTGAAGATCACTTTTAGTCTCCAATATAGCAGTAAACCGTCGATCAACGCCGTAATACCGAAAAATCTAGCGAATACCGCCGGTATTTCGGCGGTTAACCGCACGGTATACCGAACGGTTTACCGGCGGTATACCGACGGTATTGAGCACATGGGTATCTATTGGTTATTATCTTCGTTATCAATTTGAGCTTTTTTTCTCTTTGAGGAAAACGTGGGAGAAAGACATTACTCTCAAATAGTTTGGGAGAAAAAGTGGGAGAAAACAGTTTTTCGTTAAATATTGATTCGATCCGTTACGAAATCTGGGCAAGGGCTCTAACGAAATTTTGAGAGAAAAGAGATTGGTAAAGAGAAGAGATTTTCTTGAAAAGCAGGCGGGTCGTACACCCCCTCACACCCCTTCCTTAGCCGCGGCACTGCATATCCTTCTACTGGAAGTTTAGGCTGTTTAAAATGGATAAGAGTCTTTTATGCTAGTTCTCTTCTGTAAAAAACTCGCTACGTTAAACGGCGAACATTCATTTAAGATCTACTTTAAAGAGTACGTACGTGAGGACGGCATTGCCGTTGTTGATTTTCATTTATTGATGAAAAAACGGAGCAATTTTTCAACGTGAAAATTCAAAAAAATTCAAAGTAGTCGGATAGACTAACAAAGTATACCGTTCCATTCAGTCTGCGACGCTGATTCCAAATATGCTGTTTTTATTGCGTAGAAGTTGAGTTCTGATGAATAATACTCAATTGAATTGAGAATTAAGGGCCGAATTCCGATTTCTGCTCTCCTGATTTAGTAAATATGAACTACCTGAGTGACATAGCACAGTGAAAAAACAAGCGATATGTACTTTTAAAGCTGGTTCAATGGCGATTCTAATGAAGTGCAAAAATCGACTTCATCTCTTCAAGGAGAAAACTACATAGGTTTGCAAAATTGTTTGTGAACTTTTTATAGTCCAACATTGAGTGTTGTTTTCTTTTTCTATATTCGTATAATACACCATTCGATTCTGCTTTGTCCAAGGATCAAGAATATTCTCTTATCTTTACAAAAGACGTAATGATCTTGTTTCCTTTAACTTTTTACAGAAGCTTTTCTAACGCTTGCTATATCCAAGATTTGCATTTTATTTTCGAAAAATTGTTTTTTTCTAGCATCAGTTAGGTGGGAAATTTTATTTTACTCATATATTAAAGCCATTTCATTGATGAACGAAATTTAATCAGAAGTAAAGCTTACTTCTTAATGGCTAAGGAGAAAAAAAGTTTATACTGAGAGGGTGTCACAATTGACTAAAACTTAATATTTTCACTTTCTCTCATTAAATATGAAGAACTAAATAAAAATAAAAGGACTAAAAGATGCGCCGTAAAATTCTCTACAAAACCATATATTCGGTTTGTTGATTTCTTGTAATTTTCAAATCCGGCAGGGTCTTTAGTTTAAAATAATTTATAGGCTCGAATTTCTTTGAATTGCTTTGAACAAAATTAATTTCTATTAATTTCTGTTCGTAAATTAATTTAAATCAATTTGTAATAACTAATTCATTTAAATTAATTAAGAAAGCATTTGCTAAAACTAATTTCAAATCCATAATTGATTTGAACGAATTTCTTGTACCCAAAATTAATGTAAATTAATTTCAAGTGTTTCGAAACCAAAATAGGTACTTATTTCGGTTTAGAAACATTTTCAAGAATTTCTGAGACTGCCACTGGATTCCTCGCAAAAAGTTACTTCGAGAAACTTAGCCTCTAACTATATCAGATATACTATCGGGCTTTGGACTTTTTCTTAGAAGTTTTGAAAAAAATATTGAAA